TCTTTCCCTGTCTTTAGTTTCTTCCTTTAATAAAGGAAAGAGAGAAATGACAAGCCAGCTCGAACTCTTCTACACTTTGACTCCATTTTGTCCCATCATCAAGAAATCACTCACCTCCCAGGGGAGGAGAAACCAAGCTCTTTTGGAGAGGTGTGAACAAGTTGTTCTGGAGTCTGTCTAGCAATGCAGCTGGGGAATGCAGCATACACATCAGAGACAGGGAAGGAAAAGGGACGGTATATTGGGATCTGTAGAAGCAATGAAAATAATGATACACTTGTCATCATAAATCCTTTTGGGACAAAGTAATATAAATAAATTTGTAAAACATATTATATACTTATAAATATAATTTACTTAGTATTTTCTATGTGCTGAGCACTGACCTAAGCAATTTACATGCATTTTCTCATTTAAACTTCACAATAATCTTATGAGGTAAATACTGTTATGCCCATTTTACAGACTATACTATTAGATTGCCTTTTAGTTGCTCTATCTGTACATATTTATGATCATGTCCCTCCAGCTAGTCTGTGAACTCCTGGCTAGACATTGTTTTACATTTACATGTGAGGATAATGTGGCTGTGATATTTCTTATCTGATAGCTACCAGGGTTGATGTGAAGAAAAGTCCTTATTATATAGAGACTGTTTAACACATCATTTTCTCATGCATGCATGTATTCATTCATTCATTATCTGGTGATGCCCACTCTGTCAGATCCTGAACCAGGCACCCATGATAAAGAGATGAATATGCTACAACCTTTGTGTTGACAGAGCTCCCCTATCTGAGACAGTTTGAAAATTCTCATTTCCTTTATAGTTAAACTCCATGGAAGAGTTGTCTATACTTACTATCATCAATTCCTTCTTCCCAGTCTCTCCCTTTGAATTTTTTTAAAAGGTAGACCAATGATTAAAAAAATATACATTTATTGATTTCAGAGAGGAAGAGAGAGAGAGAGAGACAGACAGAAACATCAATGATGAGAGAGAATCATTGACTGGCTGCCTCCTGCACGCCTCACATTGGGGATAGAGCCCCCAACCCAGGCATGTGCTTTGACTGGGAATCAAACCGTGACCTCTTGATTCATAGGTTGACATTCAACCACTGAGCCACGCAGGCCCGGCGATAGACCAATGATTTTAATGTAAGAGTTTTAAAAATGTTCAACCAATATGATTTCAAATTCACACTGCCACTAATCTTATTTTATTTAAAAACTGAGATATATAGTTCCAGAACATTTTTATCACCTCTAAAAGGTCATGAGGTTATTACAAAACACAAATATATAATGTGTTCTATAAGCTGGAAAGTACTAAATACATATAAAGAATTTTCTTGTAGATTTTACTCAGTTGAACCCTTTTTGGTTAAGGATGTGAAGTAGGATACATACCAGTGATCCTGGGGTCTCCACCCCACGTCTTGCTTGCCTTTCTTCTTTGAAGTGCATCAAACTCTCCATAGGGGAGACAGCGACTTTTACCTGCCCCTGGCACTCTCCACTGAAGTCTGTGATGTTGTACCAGCCACAGACAAACTGGAAGCCAGAGAGAAGCGGGGAGAGGTCCACCGAGGCAAAGCCAATCACCCTTTCCTCGTCTGTGGGAGAAAGAGAAGAGCAGTGTGGCTAGGCATGTCTTGCCACTGAGATTAGAGGTTGCACACAGAGAAACTGATTTTAGGGGACTGGGAGGTTTAGTGGTTCCAAAATCAACAGAAGAGACAGATAATGAGGATGAGACTGACAACCACAGCCTGCTTGCACTATTATGGATTAACTAGAGGCCCGGTGCATTTTGTGCACGGGTAGGGTCCCTCGGCCTGGCCTGCACACTCTCTCAATCTGCAACCCCTTGGGGATGTTGGAGAGCAGGTTTCGGTCTGATCCCCACAGGCCAGGCCGAGGGACCCCACTGGTGCACAAATCCGTGCACTGGGCCTCTAGTATAATATAGATGTTAGAAGGTTATAGAATAGAGGTCTGATGCATGAAATCTGTGCAAAAGTAGGCCTTCCTTCCCCTGGCTGCCGGCACCGGCTTCACTTTGGTACCCGGGACCTGGGCTTCCCTGTGGCCACCGGCAGGCACCCGGGACTTGGGATTCTCTCCCTCCAGCTGCCGGCAGGCACCTGGGACCTGGGCTTCCCTTGCAGCCCCAGCTTTGTCTGGAAGGACATCCAGTCTAAGTAGCATATTACGCTTTAATTATTATAGATTCCCTTTTGGTATGGCAGGGAAAAGCTGGCAGAGTTAAGATGTGTCCTCTTGATACAGACAACTGGAGAGCACTCCTAAATATAAGAAACTTGTTCTTGTCCCTTGGTTATTGTGTCTTAGTGATTTTCCTCAAGGGACTGGGTCTTGAAAGAAAGCATTTGCAAGACCATCACCCCTGGAATTTTGAGGGATTTATTTGCTTTTTCCCACTTATGCTTACCTGTATTTTCAAAATTTTTGATAACATATTTAATTTAAAAATCACAAAAGCAAGACAAATAATCCCCTAGAAAACCAGTACAGGGTGCAAAATGAGCTTAGGCTCCAGCTCCTAAGGGGGCTGCCCTTAATGACTGAGAAGATCCCTTTCTTGGCCACACAGTTTGTAAACAGCAGAGCCAAGATTTGAATCCAGGTCTGTATAAGACCAAAGGCTTATTCTTTTTATCCTGATAAATAAGTATTGAATTAATACGGTGAGCCTTGGTCTGTGTTACAATCTCTGGAATATGTCAGAGAGAGGAGAAGAATAGAAAGCAAGACAGGAGTGTGGAGCCTAACGAAATGAAGCAGGAATTCCTAGTGTTGATTCAGAGAAAACCTATTTATGATCAACTCCTGCTGCATTTATGAGGGGTGGGGACATAAGTGAATCTGAGGAAGCAGCATGGGAGGAACCACTTAAACCAGACCCACAGCATCACTTCCAAACAGCAGGACAGCAAGAGACAGGTAAGCTGATTTCCTTTATACTCTGACTATTTCTCATGTCTTTATTAGGCTTTGGGGTTAGCTCTAAAAACTTACCACTAGCAAACAAAAACTGTGATGTTGTGGATGACTCAAATCAACCAAAAGTTTGAAAACCAGGCCCTAGCAGGAATCTTAAAGCAACTAGTTTTACAGGAGGGATTTAGTTGCTGGAGGCTAATTCCAGCATGTCATAATAAATGCAAGAAGTTCATCAAAAGGTTGATGGAACTTAAGGCTTCAGCAGGGCTGAATCATATTACCTGCTGCTGGAATAGCTGAAAGCATTTCCCAAACCTGAAGATCTGCATATATTATTGCCTGCTGCCAGACAGTTGAGGGCAGTTCCCCCAACCTAAAAATACTTTACTACTTACCAAACCTTACCTTTGATATGTATATCTGCTTTGCTATAGGGCAAAATGTGTTAATAAAAAGCTAGGGGTCCAGAGACTCGGGGAGAACTTAGTTACTAAAGCTAAGCCTTCCCTGGCTCCCCCGAAAGATGCAGTCCAAATTTATATTTCATGTCTAGTCGCTTTATTAATTTACTCGCAGCCCCTTCTCCAGATTCCTGAACCCTAGTAGATGCGGATAACACCCTGGCATTTAGTGAGACAAAATGTTCTAAGTATAGGAATTGTGAGATAGTTGGATGTCCTCACCACCTCATTTTTGAGTCATCCAATCTTATTAGGATGGTGAAATACAAATGGTGAAGGGTATATAGCTAGTCAAAATTGGGTTCAAATCCTGGCTCCATCAATTAATCTATACTAATAATGGAGGAATATGCAAATTGTCCGGTGCTCCATCACAGTAACGACTGAACAGCAGGCTGCATAGGGCAAAAAGGCTGGCAGGGTGGTTAGTAAGGGACGGCCAAATAACTGAACAGCAGGCTGTGTGGGGCGACCAGGCCGGCAGGGGGTTTAGTGAGGGACGACCAAATGGCTGAACAGCAGGATGTGTGGGGCAACCAAGCCGGCGGGAGGGGGGGTGGGCAGCTGGGGGTGACCAGGCCGGCAGGGAGGGTAATTAGGGGTGATCAGACCAGCAGGGAGAGGTGGTTAGAGGTGATCAGGCTGACGGGGGGAGGGCAGTTGGGGGTGACCAGGCTGGCAGGGAGGGGTAGTTAGGGGCGATCAGGCTGGCAGGGAGGGGCAGTTAGGGGCTATCGGGCAGGCAGGCAGGTGAGCAGTTAGGAGCCTGCAGTCCTGGATTGTGAGAGGGATGTCCGACTGCCAATTTAGGCCCGATCCCGGGGATCCGGCAGTCGGACATCCCCTGAGGGGTCCCGGATTGGAGAGTGTGCAGGCTGGGCTGAGGGGACCGTCCTACCATGCACGAATTTCACGCACCAGGTCTCTAGTAGATATATAACCTTAGTTAAGCCACTAAACTTCCTTGGGCTTTCACATCTATAAAATTGAACCAATTATATTTTTACCTTGCAGGATCAGAAATATTCGTGCTCTTGGCAGATTGCTATTTAGTAATAAAAACTGAGATAATATTTAGTAAGTATCAAACATTCATTTAATACTCCCAAAAAGCTATGAGGTAGGTACTATTATCATCTTTATTTTAGGAAACTTGAAGCATAGAGAAGTTAAGTCATTCACCCAAGGTCACACTACTTTGTAAGGGCAGAACTGGTATTTAAATTTAAAGAGTGTGGCTTCAGAGTCTGTGCTCTTAACTCTGTTGTATTATGCTTCCTAATAAATGCTAGCTGAGTAAAACTAGATTCAAGGACCATGATGTCAGCACCTCTGTCCTGGGAAGGTTCTTAAAACAAGGAAGGGCAAGCTGTCTGATTCTACTGCCTGAAAATGCTAGTGCCTTCATTAATAATCCAGAGTTAACAGGAGGCATAACAACATCATCCACAAGGGATAGTTATCACTTGTGTATGGCACGCTGTACATTATGATAGTTGAGATACAATTGGAAAGACTCAGACGTACTTGGATTTCTGCACTAAGCATGTGGTCAAACAACATTATCTGCTTTATAAGGATTTAAATTCCAGGGCATTCTGTGGGATTCACTTCTAACACATTTGTAGGTACTCAGCACCACCAGTTCTACTGTTTCACTTGGTTAAAAAAAGAAAAGGACTAGCAAACTGCCAATTGTGTGTGAGCTCATTTTCACAATCAGAGTTTATAGAATAGAGTTCATACCTCCTTTATGCCAAACTTTGAAGACCAGAGTTTGTTGTGGGTCCAAAAGAAGCTCTTTTGATAGTCTAATAAGAAAAACAACCACAATAAATGAACTGTGTAGGTTTGAAGAATATCTTGTAGTTTGCAGTGCACTTTCATTTTACTTTCAATGTCATCATCTAGGATTTATTTTTATTTTCACAGTTAAAAGGAGGAGATGGAAAGTCAGAGAGATGAAGTAACTTGCCAAGACTTGAAAACAGGTTCCCCTGATACTGCAGCTTCCCCCTCACATTCACTCTGTTTTTCAAGACAAGGGAGGGAGTGTGGAAAGGGAGCCCCTCAACAGGCAACGAACAGTTTTGTTGCAGCAGGTAAGAATACTTCCTGTGCCATGGGAGTGGGGGAATGGTGAGAAGGAAAAAAGAGGGGGAAAAAGAACATTTACTGAGTGCCTATTTTGGGCCAGGCATAGCATCAAGTGTTTTATGTACATGTAATCTGCACAAAAACCTATGACATGGGCATTATTATCCCTATTTTATAGATGATGAAGATAGGCTCAGAGAGATGAGTGATTTGTTCAAGGTGACATAAAAGTCAGCAAGTGGCAGAGCTGGGATTTGAACCCTAGTTTGCCTGACTCCAAAGCGACTCTGTAGAGGTAAGGCACCAAAATAGGAAGATGCCCAACTTTCATACCAGGTAAAGAAGCTGATGTGGAATTCTTTAATGTTTTATATGACATGAATTACACAGTTTTAAATTACACAGATTTGGAAAGTTCTAAACCAGGTATCACTGCTTCAGGTGAGCAAGATGGGAGAACCAAGGTAAATCAAGAGATTTAATTTTTTCCCCCAGAGACCACTGGGGAATTGAATGAGAGACACTGTGCTAAAGTGAAATGAATATTGTGTCAGAGTTTTGAATTCTAGCTGGGGGTCAAAATTCTTACCTTTGAATTCTAGTTCTACTACTGTCACCTGAGTGATCCTGAGTCTGGCTTACTTTGGGATGATAAATCTGTTAAATGGGATTATAACATCTACCTACAGGTTGCTAGAAGGATCAAATGAAACAATTTTGTGATAAAGGAATAAAAAAAGTATCATTATTCATTTTTCTTATCTTGCCTCAGATTATGTAACCTCCCTGTGCCACAGTCAGTACAACTATAATATGATTGACATAACTCAGCCTCCGATTTTTTGAGCCCTGCTGTGTACCTAATATGTACCATGAGGTAACTTTCCTAAATGTCATCTAATTTGGACTTCACAATAACCCTGTGATTTATCCCATTTGACAGATGAGGAATCAAAGGTTCAGAGATGTTATGTAACTTGTTCACATAGTTAGTAAGTGACAGAGATGGGGCTGGAGGCCACCTCTCTCTAGTTCCAAAGCCTAGCCTCTTCCCACTGCACCAGAAATCTTTTCCAAGTATGTACAATCCTCAGTCTTTTCTGAGATTTGTTCTCTTGGCCTTCTTCATCTAGATAACATATACATTCCTCCATACTTAGCTGAGATATCGTTTAAGAAGTCTTCCCTGAACATTTAGCTATCACCTTCTAAGAATATAGAGCTGAGAGCAGCATATGCCACTCTGTGTAATTTTTAAATTTATCTTAATTACCTGAAATGCCCTGCTTTGTTCTAGGTACTGGGAGCTAAAGATAATTACAATCCTCACTGAATAAAAAACACATCAAACTTTTAAACCACTGCTAGCTATGAATTTATTTTTCCCTGTTTTTTCTTTTATTTTTCAATTGTAGTTTACATTCAATATTATTTTGTATTAGTTTCAGGTACACAGCATAGTGATTAGAAAGTCAATACTTTACAAAGTGATCCCTTGATATTTCAAGTACCACCTGACACCATACATAGTTATTACAGTTTTATTGACTGTATTCCCTGTGCTGTACTTCATACCCCATGACTATTTTATAACTACCAATTTGTACTTCTTAATCCCTTCGCCTTTTGCTGTGAATTTAAAAGCATTAGGATTAAATAATTGCTTGATAGGAAAATCATTTCCCAGGTCTGCAAACGATTACTGTGTTTGTTATATTCCTTGCTCTGAGTTTGTCTCCTGGAACAAAACCAGATTCTAGAGGCTAATGGAACATTATAAAATACAAACCTTGATTGCTGTTGAAAATTCCAGATGGGGGAATCTGTGTTTTTAACCACTGGGGTGTAGACAGGAGATGGCTCATCAGCTGTTGCAAAGGACACACAACAACTGGGTATTGATACCTTCCGCTCTGTCAAGGGGGTCCCTGAAATAGAAGAGAGAGGAGTGACTGTATTTTAGGGTACCAGAAAGAATTTGTTGGAAGCATCCCATTATACAGGCACAAGAGCAGGACCATTCCAGCCATCTCCAACCTTTGGGTCTTTGCTTGGGCTATTCCCTGTATCCAAAATGTTTTCGGTGTCCTTTCTGCTACTAAAACTGTCCTATCAAGGCTTAGTTCATGAATATTCCCAGACAAAAAATGACTTCTCCCATCTCCTTGTACTTTATGGAATGATGGAAAATATGTGATTGACAAGCAAAAGATAGAACTGCAAAAAGTCATAAACTTAAGAGTCAGGTGATCAATTATTAGCTTTGTCATATATATTCTGTGTGACCTTGAGCAAAGGCCTATTTAGGCCACAGCTTCCTCAAATAGGGCATATGATACATCTCCTAAGACGTTAAAAATAAGTAATAGTAGGTAACACGTATAGTATATCACTTATATGCCAGGTACTGTTCTAATACATGTATATGTATTAACTCCTTTAACTTTTACAACAACCCTCTGAGGTAGGTATTATTGTTATTATTCCCATTAAACAGATGAAAAAACTGGGGTACAGGAGATTAAACATTTATTAAGTGGCCACACACTTATTATACAGTAGAACGCAAGCATTCTGGCTCTAGAGTCCAAGCTCCCAGACATCAATATAATGCCTCCACTACAGAGTTGATGAATATAAAACGCTGAGTACTACGCTGGAAATTTTTAGGTTTCCAATATAAGAGACTCAGTCATTTGTTTTAAGACAAATGCAAAATGAAGATGGCTAATGATACTAGATAGTCTAACTGAGCTGTCCAACTTTAAATTAACGAAAATTAAATAATATTAAAAATTTAATTCCTCAGTTGCTCTAGCCATACTTCAAGTGCTCAATAGCCACATGTAGTTAGTGGTTACCATACTGGGCAGTAAAGATATAGAACATTTCAATTAAAGTACAAAGTTCTTTTTGACAGTGCTAAATACGAGTGACCAGACTCTATGTACTCCATAAGCTCCCTCTTAGCTCTAAAATGCTATGAATCTCAGGATTACAAATGTAGGGAAGGGAAGAAAAGAGAAAAAGAGTGAGAAAATAAGTACGTTTTAAACATTATTTATGTGATCCAGAGATACAAATTCTATACGTGGATTCTAAGCAATTTGTCTTCTATCTGTCTAGCCCCAGGTTTCCCCAAATGCACTCTCTCACTTCACCTTATAGGTGAAGTTAATCTTTGAGGCACCACCCTGCTCCTTCTCTATCTGGCTGCTCCTTTCAGTGACTACTCTTCCAAAGACCTCAGGCTATCCTGTGACAGAAAGCAAACTGATGAACAAGCCATGGTCGGGAACTGCTGATTTTACTCTCCTCCATCAGTAGTGTAACATTTAATAAGTAGCCATTAAAAGGGCTCAACCACCATCTACTCTCAGAAGCCTCTCAACTCTCTAGGCCAGGGGTGGGCAAACTTTTTGACTCGAGGGCCACAATGGGTTCTTAAACTGGACCGGAGGGCCGGAACAAAAGCATGGATGGAGTGTTTGTGTGAACTAATATAAATTCAAAGTAAACATCATTACATAAAAGGGCACGGTCTTTTTTTTTTTTTAGTTTTATTCATTTCAAACGGGTCGTAGTTTGCCCACAACTGGTATAGACACATTGTTATAAAACAGGCTTCCAGAAATTTTTCATTTTCAAAAACAAAA